ACCAAATCAACTTAATTCATTAAAAATAAGAATTTCAATACAAGGTGGAATTAAATCAAAACTAGTGGAGCTAATAACATGAAATATGGACGCCCTAATTAAGGTGTGAGCAACCTGATTTGTTTGTCTCCTTATGAACCTTACCATTAGGTTCGAGTGAGATTGTAGTACTAATTGACATTTTCGTAAAACATGTCTGTATTCTGCAGGAATAGAGGTGGGGCTTAGTACATCATCAACTACTTGCTTGGAGTCGGTTTCTATAATAGTGCTTGTGATGCCCATATCACTAAGTCATGTGAGAGCTTCTAAGAGGGTTAGAGCTTCAGCTTCTTGGAAGTTTATGAAACCATGTTGCCAACCGGATTTAGCTTTAATAAAACTTCCATCAGCGTTCCTAATGCATAGGCCGAAACCCATAATATTTTCTTCCTTGAAGACAGCTGCATCTACATTACATTTTAGCAAACCTGGGAGTGGTTTGGTCCAAGTGTTAACATGCGGTTGCTGTTGGGAGGTTGATTTGTCTTTTACTTTTGCAAACTGCCATTCTGAGTATCTTTGCATGGCCTTATGAACTGCTATCCCAGGTGGAGTTGTAGTGTCAGACCATACCTTATCATTTCGGTTCCTCCAAATGGACCATAGGATAATTATGACTTTACATGCAATATCATGATGCAGGTTTGATATTAAGGAGAAAATAGTATCCTTAAAATCCTCTCCGTTGTCAATGTAGGCATTTGTCGATGGCCATAAACCGAAGGTCATCCAAATTGATTCTGCTGTTTGGCATCCAAAGAAAATATGCCATTCATTTTCTTGGTTTAGGCTGCAGTGCGCACATAGAGAAGTACGGGGGATTCCACGCTGTTGTAGATTCATTCGTGATGGTAGACACCTTCGAGCTATTCTCCATAGAAAGATCTTCATGGTATTCAAGACTTTCAAGCTCCAGATTTGTTTCCAATTTCCTGGCACATGAAGATGAGTATTGGATATAAGTGATTCCATCACGTAATAATAAGCAGACTTCACATAGTAAGAACCCTTGCGTGAGAGCTTCCATGATGGTGTGTCGTGCTCGTGTAAGTTTAGGAGAGGAATAGAACAAATATCTCTAACGTCTTCTGTCCCAAACAAAGTAGATAGGAGGTCTTGATTCCACTTTCCCTCATTCATGTCGATAAGCTCTGCTACTATGAGGTTTTCATGTCCTTCTAGAATAGGTGTTGTTACGTAGGAATTTGTGGGATTACGGAGCCATGGGTCATGCCAAACCTTCAAACTTCTTCCATTACCAATGCGCCATCTTAGCCCGCCTTTTACCACTACCTGTGAAGCATGGATGCTACGCCATACATAACTTGGATTGTGACCCAGCTGGGCCTCCAAAAAGTCCCCTCTTGGGAAATATTTTGCTTAGAAAACTCTTGATAATATAGCATCGGGGTTGGAGAGGAGTCTCCAACCTTGCTTCCCTGGCATGGCTAGGTTAAAGCCATAAATGTGCCGAAATCCCATTCCGCCGTATTCTTTTCTCATAGATAATTTCTCCCAGTTTAACCAGTGGATGCCTTTGTTTCTTTGCCTGTTTGACCCCCACCAAAAGGAGTTCAACATCCTTTGGATCTCTTCTTCTAGAGAGGTGGGTATTAAAAAAACTCCCATGTAGTACGTAGGTATGGATTGGGCTACTGATTTTATGAGGACCTCACGCCCTGCCTTTGAGAGGTGTTTTCCTTTCCAGCTTTGTATTCTCTTCCATATACGATCCTTGATTTGGTTGAACAGAGCCTTTTTCTTTCGTCCAATCATGGAGGGTAAGCCAAGATACTTGTCGGTGCCAATGCTTTCTGTGATATGTAGCTCCGAATTGATGGATATTCGAATATTGTTTGGGGTATTACGGCTATAAAAAATCTCTGACTTTTGGAAATTTATTGATTGACCGGATGCTCTTTCATACAAATATAGGATTTCTCAAAGTTTGGAGCAGTCACGTGGAGTGGCTTTACTAAATAAGAAGCAATCATTTGCAAACAGTAGATGAGTTATTTCTGGGGCTCCTCTACAAACCTTTATCCCATGCAAGTCACCGCAACTTATAGCTCTTTGAGGAGCGTTGATAAGCCCTCGGTGCATAGAATAAATAGATATGGGGACAAGGGGTCGCCTTGTCGGATACCTCTTTGTGGATTCACTGGTTTGGTTTCTTCTCCATTAATGATAATCTGTGATTGAGCCGAGGACATGCATAAACACATCCAGTGAACACAACGAGAATGGAATCCCATTTTGAGCATGAGTACTTGCAGGTATGACCAGTTGACACGGTCAAAAGCTTTATTGAAATCTATTTTGAGTGCCATCTCTCCCACTTTGCCTTTTGTCTTACACTTCATGTGGTGTAGTGTTTCCATTGCTACGAGGACATTATCCAGTATTGATTTGTCCTTTATAAAAGCGGATTGCTCTTCAGATATACACTTTGGCAGCAGAGGTTTTAGTCTATTTGCTAAGACTTTAGCTATGACCTTATATAGAACGTTGCATAGAGATATTGGACGATAATCTTTCATTGAAGTAGGGTGGTCTATCTTTGGAATGAGTACTATGTTTGTGTCGTTGAGTTGAGGAGGAAAAGATCCTTGTTCAAGCCATTGGTTGCTTGCATGATAAATTTCAGGACCTAGTAGATACCAAAATCTTTTATAGAATCATGGGTTTAAACCGTCTGGGATTTGTCAGTGTGCATGGAGAATAGAGCGACTCTGAATTCTTCGAGGCTGAAAGGGTTAAGGAGTTTGTTATTGTCTGTTGGGATTCATCCCAAGTCCCACATCGGTAAAATGAAGGAACATTGGCTAGTTTATAAGTGTCCACCATTTCACATAGTATGAGGCCTTTTGGGAAGGAGCCCAAAAACAAAACCGTGCGGGCTTGGGCCCAAAGCGGACAATATCATACTATGGTGGTGGAAAAGGTGGACTAGCGGGCCCTACAAGTGGTATCAGAGCCAACGGTTCGTCTGGGTTTGATGCGGGAAGACCCTCAGTGTTGTGCCTCGCGATGGAGATTCGAACTTGGTGCCTTGTGTCGAAAGTCTTCCTGATATTGTGGTGTTCAGGCGGCGTGTCCCGTAGAGTTAACGGCGGTACAAGATGGTGACGGATTATCGCTTGAGGGGAGGAGATCACGAGACATGTGGTCCTTGGTCTGAGGGGAGGTTTGTTGGGATTCATCCCAAGTCCCACATCGGTAAAATGAAGGAACATTGGCTAGTTTATAAGTGTCCACCATTCCACATAGTATGAGGCCTTTTGGGAAGGAGCCCAAAAACAAAACCGTGCGGGCTTGGGCCCAAAGCGGACAATATCATACTATGGTGGTGGAAAAGGTGGACTAGCGGGCCCTACATTGTCTTCCTCCGTGATTTTGGTTGGAATGTGATTTATAACTCCTGTAATATCACTCTCCTGCTGACGGAATAAAGTTTCAAAATATTGGTGAGTTGCTATTTCGATATCGTTCTGGTTGGTGATAGTTTGTCCTTCCTCATTTATGATGCTTTTGATATAATTCCGCTTTCTTCTTGCAGAGGTTGTAGCATGGAAAAATTTGGAGTTGTTGTCTCCTTCCTTTAGCCAGTGAACTTTTGCCCTTTGTTTCCAGAAAGCCTCCTCTTGTAAAATGAGAGTATTGAGCTTATCTTGTATCTCCAGAAATGTGGCATTGGAGGTAGCATCAGATTTGTCTCTTACTGCATGAGCTTATGTCTACAATCTGTGATGGGTGTGCGAAACCTGGTGCGTATGTGTTTTCCCCAAGCATCTATATCGTTAGAGCAATGTTTGAGTTTGGATATGAAGTCTGTGGTGTTCCATTTGGTTTAGCTTTGTTCAACGATGTGAGAGATGTCGGGTTCTTCCAGCCACGAGTTTTCAAATCTGAAGGTATGTCGCTTACTTGAGCGGGTTCGCACGTATAATTGTAGTATAATAGGGGAATGATCTGACCTGGAGGCAATTGCATTGGATAGGGTGCATTGAGGGAAAATATCAAACCAGATTTGGGTGGCCATAGCTCTATCGAGCCTTTCCTCTACTTGATCCGAATGGCCTTTCCTTCTGGTCCATGTGAAGGGGTATCCACACAAAGGAATATCCACCAGGTTGGCTTCAACAACGACTTCTCTAAACCCTCTGAAAAGCCATGATGGGTGATCTACGGGTCCCCTTTTGTCAGCATTGGAAAGTAAGTCATTGAAATCTCCCATTATACACCATGGGAGTGTTGTATCTTCGGATAGGTGCTTCAAAAAGGACCAAGATTCCTTCCTTTTTGACCTATCTGGGATGCCATAAAAACCTGTAAAATGCCATAGTGGTTTTTGTTGGAATGCAACTGTAACATTAATAAAATTTGTTGAGTAGTTTATGAGTTTACACTCATAAGGAGCCTTCCATAGTAACGCTAAACCTCCACCACGACCCACATTATCTACTGCAAACGAAGAATCAAACTTGAGGTGCGAACGAATTTCTTCCATACGGTGGGAGTGTACCAATGTTTCAGACAAGAACACTACATCCGGGTGGTACTCCCGAATGAGGTCTTTTAGGATAGGAACTGCACGTGGGTTTCCTAAGCGCCGACAGTTCCAACTGAAGAAGGTCATTGCCCCTAGCAGGCCTTGTTCCCAGGGCATGCCCATAAAAAAGGTTCAGTCGAAGATTGTGTTAGGGTGTTTGTGGAAGATGGTTCGTTGTTGCGTGCTCTCTTCTTGTTGCTCATAAGTAGTTCCTCATCAACTATAACTTTTTCTTCTTGGTTTGTAAAGAGTGATGCCTGAGGCTTTGCGGTTGCTTTTGTGGTTACAATAATTTGTTGACGATTATTTGCTTCGTCATGTTTATTGATATGAATCCCATGATTTGCGGTATCATCTTTATGTTTGTTTTGATATCTCGGATTATCTTGAGAAGATTCTCCGTGATTTACGTTAGGTTCCGTGATTGGCGCATCCCAGCGATTTGAATTTTTTGAACATAACCAACGGATCCTCTGGTTGCTCCCCTAGGGTCGGCGCGTAGATATGGACCCCATTCGCGCTGACCATCATCTTGTTCCATGTTGAATAACTTATCACAGTTTTTGTCTGTATGTCCTAATAATCCACAGAAGAAATAGTAGGTACCCAATCTTTCATATTTGAAAAATACAACTGTGGCTTCTCCGTCGGGCTTTTTGATTCTTTTAGCTTTCTTGAGTGGCTTTTTGACGTCAATAAGAACACGAATTCTCATGAAAGATCTCCATAAATCTGAGGAATTCTTTACGTCGTAGTCCAAGAATTCTCCTATATAATTAGCAATACTTTGCCCGACGATCAAAGACATGAAACCCACTGGGAGGAGATGCACTTGGACCCAGAATGGGACTGTATATAGTGGTACTTGACTTAGGATATTACCTTTTTTTATAGTGCTGAGAATGAGTAGGTGACAATCAAAGGACCATGGACCTCCTTTGAGGATACGTTGCATGTCTATCTGATGGAAAAACTGGAATAGAAAGAGACCCAAGGCTATCTCTTTAATGGCTTCTCCTCGTCTCGGTTGCCACACGTCAGCCATCCTCTCTTTCATTATCTGGGTACATATTTGACGATCAGTCAAGAAGCGTCCAACCAGACTTAGTGAGAGGTTTGTTGAAGGGTTATCATGAGGGAAATTTGGGATGACCAGATTTGCTTTCATATCTTCATCGATATGCATGTTGCGTAGGTTGTCTTCCATGGTTCAGAGGTGTTGCGAGGTTTGTATATGGTGTTTAGAGGATATACGTGGATTGGGGATTAGGTGCAGAAAACGTCTCACGAGGAGAGAAAAAATAACTAATTTGTAACTTATTTTTGTCTATTATTATAGTTTTAGATTTATAATAAACATATTCAGTAAAATAAATATATTAAATTTCACGTTATCAAAGAAAAAGGTTGTTTTTCATTAAATTTGATATATAGTATTCATATAATATGTGCAAAATTTATTAGTTATTAGTATTGATTTAATTAGTTCTTTATTTTTTTTAAGGAATTTATAAGTTTTGGAGAGTTGTTGTAGAAAGCCTCCTCGTTGACATCAAATATAAATCTAAAATTTACATTAAATTTTATATTTTTAATAATTTTTTAATAAAATAATTTTAATCGATCTAATCATTAAATTATATGATATTATATTTGAGATTACATATATTAAAGTTCACATGATTTTAGAATTATACAGGGTGTGCTTGAAAATCAATTAAGCTGAATTAAATTGTGGTTGAAAAAAAATATATACTCACCCGTTTTTACTTTTTCTACATTGTGTGTTTTTCTATTAAACATGACTTCAAACTGGTATATAATAGTTTATTAAACCACTTTATTTTATTTTAATGTATAATATAATATTTAAAATATACATAAATACTAATTTTTGAATAACATATTTAGAAATTTTTAAATAATATAAAATTTGATATATATGACATTTAATATAATATCACATAATTTAATGGTTGGATTGGTTCAACATGCATCATTCAAAAATTAATGATGATATAAGATTTGGTATAACTTTTTAGACATATATATGATGGTAATGAATCCTCTATCTCTCTCTCTATATATATATATAATATTATACATTCCATTTTTTTAAATATTTGTTAAATTATTTTTTGATCTATAAAATAGATTATATCAACACCGAAAAAATTGAATCTAAGTTTTCATACATTTACTCTAATCCTTACTCACTACGTCAATCATAGTGATTTATTAATTATATTATACCAGTATTTAGTCTTTATAATACATACAAAAAATATTTATTTTATATAATTAAAAATTATTATATTTTAATATATAAATTATATTTAAAACTTATATAGATATATTTTATACATATAAGTATTTTTAAATTTATAACAAATATTTTATATTGTAACATAATATTAATTAAGAAATTAGATTTGTCTATCTAGTTTTGGTTATTTTTTATAACTGTTTATGGGTTGGAGTACTCCTTATACTTCTTTTTAATATATTTCATTTTGTCTAACAAAAAAAAACATAATATTAATTTTAAATATGAATAATTTATTTTAAAAATATTAAATTTTAATTTATGAATATAATAAATAAAAAATTTGCAGAAAACGTCTCACGAGGAGAGAAAAAATAACTAATTTGTAACTTATTTTTGTCTATTATTATAGTTTTAGATTTATAATAAACATATTCAGTAAAATAAATATATTAAATTTCACGTTATCAAAGAAAAAGGTTGTTTTTCATTAAATTTGATATATAGTATTCATATAATATGTGCAAAATTTATTAGTTATTAGTATTGATTTAATTAGTTCTTTATTTTTTTTAAGGAATTTATAAGTTTTGGAGAGTTGTTGTAGAAAGCCTCCTCGTTGACATCAAATATAAATCTAAAATTTACATTAAATTTTATATTTTTAATAATTTTTTAATAAAATAATTTTAATCGATCTAATCATTAAATTATATGATATTATATTTGAGATTACATATATTAAAGTTCACATGATTTTAGAATTATACAGGGTGTGCTTGAAAATCAATTAAGCTGAATTAAATTGTGGTTGAAAAAAAATATATACTCACCCGTTTTTACTTTTTCTACATTGTGTGTTTTTCTATTAAACATGACTTCAAACTGGTATATAATAGTTTATTAAACCACTTTATTTTATTTTAATGTATAATATAATATTTAAAATATACATAAATACTAATTTTTGAATAACATATTTAGAAATTTTTAAATAATATAAAATTTGATATATATGACATTTAATATAATATCACATAATTTAATGGTTGGATTGGTTCAACATGCATCATTCAAAAATTAATGATGATATAAGATTTGGTATAACTTTTTAGACATATATATGATGGTAATGAATCCTCTATCTCTCTCTCTATATATATATATAATATTATACATTCCATTTTTTTAAATATTTGTTAAATTATTTTTTGATCTATAAAATAGATTATATCAACACCGAAAAAATTGAATCTAAGTTTTCATACATTTACTCTAATCCTTACTCACTACGTCAATCATAGTGATTTATTAATTATATTATACCAGTATTTAGTCTTTATAATACATACAAAAAATATTTATTTTATATAATTAAAAATTATTATATTTTAATATATAAATTATATTTAAAACTTATATAGATATATTTTATACATATAAGTATTTTTAAATTTATAACAAATATTTTATATTGTAACATAATATTAATTAAGAAATTAGATTTGTCTATCTAGTTTTGGTTATTTTTTATAACTGTTTATGGGTTGGAGTACTCCTTATACTTCTTTTTAATATATTTCATTTTGTCTAACAAAAAAAAACATAATATTAATTTTAAATATGAATAATTTATTTTAAAAATATTAAATTTTAATTTATGAATATAATAAATAAAAAATTGAATTAGATAAGAATTTTTAAAAAATTTACCGTTAAAAAGACCCCTAAAAACACTATTGCGTAAGATAATCGCATAGAAGTAGATATATAAATTAAATTTTATATTTATGATATATAATTTATATTGTGATATAAAATTATCTTTATTTATTGATAACTTATTTTATATATGTTTTAATATTATTTTATATATTATTTTTATTTTATTAATACCAAAATTTCCGTGGAGAAGTGGTAACATAATTAAGTGACGGCAGAGGTAGCTTGAAAGAATTAAATTCTCCACCATGGATAGGAAAGTATTATTGATTGTGTTTTTTTGTTGGAAAAGAATTGTGAGAAAAAATAGTTAGTTAGGCAATAGGCAGGGCAATAAAGCAGATGCACATGTATGATTTTGCATTTAGAGAGTTATGTGAAGTGAGAGAGAGTTGGGTAATAGAAAATTAAAGTAAATGTTGTGGAGACGTTTAATTATAGGAGAAATAAAATAAAAGAAATAATTAAGGAGGATATATATTAATATATATATATATATATATATATAAGAGGAGAGGAGAGGAGAGGTAGTAAAAGTAAAAGATGGGTGGGGACGAGGCCCTAACGCCGGCGGGGAGGATGTTCCTGCAGCCGCAGATGAAGCAAATAATCCACTGCGTGATAGGGCTGAAGAAGGAGATCGACGTGGAGTCGGTGAAGTCGGAAATAAGGAACTCAACTTTGCTGAAACACCCAAGGTTCACGAGCCTGATGGTGAGAGACAGAAGGGGAGTGGAGCACTGGCGCCCCACGGAAATCGACATCGATAATCACGTGCGTATAATCGAGGAAGCATTGGGGGAGCAGGATGAATCCGCCATCAACAACTACCTCTCCGAATTATCCATAGATACCCTCAGCATGGATAAACCCCTCTGGGAAATCCATCTTCTCCTCCTCCACAAGTGCGTCATATTCCGTATCCATCACTCCCTCGGGGATGGTATTTCCCTCATGTCCATGCTCCTCGCCAGCTGCAGGAAGCTCCATGACCCACGCGCACTCCCTACCATCTCTGCTTCTGCTTCTAACACTACCTCTCGCTTCTCTCTCTCCAATCTCCTCCTCACCCTCTGCTTTTGTTTCATCTTTGCTCTCGACTTCATTCTCAGGTGTTTGTGGATTCGTGACACCAAATCCGCCTTAACCGGCGGCTCTGGGGTTGAGCTCTGGCCCAGGAAGATCGCTACTGCCACTTTCTCCTTGGAGCACATGAAGACCGTCAAGACGGCTCTTAATGCGGTACCTCTTCAATTTCCCCTTTCTACTTTCTACCTCTCTTCTTCAACCATATTACCATGTCTTTATCTTTCTTTCCTCATTTTCACTTCTTTCATTTCCTCACTCCATAGTCCATAAACCTTTTTTAAACCATAAAACAATACAAAACAACTTTATTACTCTTTCCCCCATTCTTTTCTATAAAGTAAATTACTATTCTAGTGCTCAACACATAAATAATACCAATAACCTCCTTTTTTCTATACACCCTTACGCCGCCTGTCTCGCTCGGAACCTTTAGAGCCGTCAATTATTATTTTTTCTTCCTCATATGGTCGTCAAACCCCAAATGTCCCGCATGGTGCTCATGTTTAGGGCGGCTAAACACAAATAATGCTGTAGACTGAACTTATAAATTTTACCACTCTTGTATTTTTTTGTTTTAGAGATGTCAAATTATTTAACCCTTGGTAAACATTATTGATTCTAATTAACATTTATTAAAAAGTAACTAATGCAATAAACTGGGAGGAATTAGTATAGAAGAATTAAAACAATAAAGAACTTGATTTAAGATATTGTTTGGCAAGGAGGTCAAACATTTTTTTTATAAGAGAGTAATTAATAATTTTTGTTTTTCAAGTTATAAAGCAAGTGACACAAAGTGTTGATCACTTGCCTTAGGGTTGAGTCATACACATATATATATATATATATATATATTTATTTATTTATTTTTTGAGTACCTTCCCTTCTTGTGATCGTTAATTTTTGCTATTCTGCAGACCATAAATGACGTTCTATTTGCAGTTATATCATCTGGGATATCAAAATACCTGGACTTTCGAGCACCCAACGGTAAAATTATTTTGTATTTTCCAATAAGCATAGCTTCTCTGTCTTTTTTGGTAACAAAGGCTTGTGTGCACATAATTGATTAAATGATTGTTATTTTTATTTTCTGTAAGAGCTGCGAGACGGTGTTCAGCTAACAGGGTTAGCTATGGTTAATTTAAGAAAGCAGCCAGGATTGCAGGTCAGACACTAACTTGCCCGAATTTACCTTCCTTGTCTTGTGTTGTCTACATGTTTTCTACAACTTTACTGAGGTGGGATAAAAACTGATCAGGAATTATCCAATTTGATGAGAAGCAATTCAGGAGCAAGGTGGGGTAACAAATTTGGTATGATTCTCCTGCCTATATATTACCACAGAAGCAACACTTCAGATCCTTTAGAATATTTGAAGAGAGCTAAAGCAATGATTGACAGAAAGAAACGATCTCTGGAAGCCAGTTTCTCATACAGAGTTGGGGATTTAGTAATGTCGACCCTTGGTCCAAAGGTGAACTTCCTTATTTTTAAACTTTTGAGCTAAAGTAGAAAATTTGAACTGTAATTAGTATCCCGCGAACTTTTATTTGGAATTTGCAGTTTGCTAGCCTTCTAAATTACCGGATACTCTGCCACACTACCTTCACAATCTCAAATGTGATTGGCCCACAAGAGGAGATTATGATTGGAGGCAATCCTGTAACGTTCTTAAGGGCAAATAATTCTGCCTTGCCTCATGTACGACTCCTAAACTAATTTCATTAAGCACTTCCAACTTTGGAGTACGATAGTAGGTAAATGTAATTTATGTACATTGTCGGTGGGTGTTATTAATGCAGGCGCTCATTTTGAATATGGTGAGCTATGCTGGAAGGGCAGACATGCAAGTGCAGGTGGCCAAAGATATCATTCCCGATCCTGAGTTTCTAGCCAAGTGCTTTGAAGATGCATTGCTTGAAATGAAGGAGCAGGTTACGGCCAAAATCTGACTTCGGACAAATTTATTTTTGTTAAATGTGAAAACATATTGATATACAGGCAACGTATAATTTACACTTTGATAACCTTTACTTAGGGACTTATTTGTCATATGTCCGGCTCTCTTTAGTACATAAGTTCAAGGATTTGTTGAACCACAAGCCAGTCTTGGGAATGTCGAAAAATGTACTGACAAGTGATGCATGTGATAGCGCTAAGGTAGTGTTTGTTTCCGGGGATTTATTATTCATGAGCAAAGAAAGACGAATAAACTTGTTGTTCGTTTCCGGTGATTTGCGACGACGGAAAGACGAAGAAAAGGAGGAAGAAGCATGATTCGCATCCTCGCTTTTGTGTGAAGAAAGGAGAAGAAAACCACGTAAGATTTATAAAAACCCAGAAATGCCCTTTCGCATGCATGCATAGTGTACCATGCAGTGAAAAAAACATATACGAAGAAAACATAATCGATTATGCAAGAATACATAATCAATTATGATCTTACATAATCGATTATGTTGAAGCATAATCGATTATGCAAAGGTATAATCGATTATGTAGCCTTGCATAATCAATTATGCTATATATATATATACAGCATAATCGATTATGCTATATATATATAGAGCATAATCGATTATGTTGTATATATATATATAACATAATCGATTATGTTATATATATATATATATAACTTAATCGATTATATATATATATAATATTAATATTTAATATATAATATCTTAAATTAAATATAATTATTTAATATTAATATTTAATTTATATATATATATATATATTAAATATTTAATATTTAATATATATATATATATATATTTAATATTTAATATTGAATATTTAATATATATATATTTAATATTTAATATTTTATAATTTTTTTAATTAAAATTTATATATTTATCTTTTAACTATAATAATTATAAATTTTTTAACTTAAGGGCAAAATAGTAATCTTATATAATTATTAATTAAAAAATTTATTTTTATCTATCACATCAATCAATTCACTCATAAACTTTCACATACTTTCTCTACACTTTCCACTCACTTTCCCTTAATTCAAACAACCTCACTTTCTACTCACTTTCCCTTCAAATCTCTCATTTTTCACTCCCTCTTTTCCATCCTCAAATCCAAACAAAGCCTAAGTGTAGTGTTATGCAGTTGTCCTTCAACAATCCTCCGTTTTCGCTATAGGATAAGTTTTCAGTAGCAAGTGCATTTTGAATAATTAACTTATTTAATAAGTTTTTATCACATAAACATTTGTCATAAATTTAGCAATCAACGTCTACTAATCCATTGCTAGCTTAGTGACACAATAATATGGAATTTACTAATTCAATGATAAAAAAAAAACTATCCTATTTGGTAGTTGTATTCGCTAGGAACAAGATATAAAAGATCAGGAAAAAATTCATTTAATGTGCATTTACATATTCTAACAGAGATTTGTTATTATTTTGAAAGTGAAACTTATTTTCAATACTTTGATTATTAAAAAATATAAAAGATAATATCACATTCCATTATGCATTGCCTTATTACTCTCATTGTGTGTTTAATAGAAAATAAGGAAATATGGTAGATAAAATTAAAGACACTGAATGAAAGTAAGTGAAAAATAAAATAAAAATATCATTTTTTATGCATAAAAAATATTAGTTTAAAATAATAAAAAATAATTCATTTGTATCGATTGCATATTAGAAATGAGTATTAGTTTGATCGATCACATATGTTTCTAACAATTTTAAATTGTCAACAAACATCAAAATCTGTCACCAAATGTCTTTCTTTTTTTTACATTTTTAACGAAAACCGTCACAAATGTTAAAAAAGTGACACTTTTAGTGTTTATTTTTGATCATTTATGCCTAGAAACAAAATTGTATTACACATTTTTATTTTTTTCTCCTTACATATATGTTTCTATTACCAAACACATTTTATTTTCACTCCTTTTTTTTCGGCTCTATTTTATCTCCATTTCATCTTTATCAAATAGATCATTAATTCCATTCTTACCATAATGTTACTTATCATCACAATTTTTCACTCTCATCGCCATTATTATTATTTTTAAATTAATGGGGTTTGTGTAATATAAATTAAAGGGGAAAATCCAAAGCAGAGTACTCATAAAAAAAACTAACAAAATGTTTAAAACAAAATCAGTTTACCTAAGAAAAGTCTTAAAAATGAAGTTACGTGTAAGAAGCGTAAAATAAAGGAGAAAGTGAACAACTTATTCTATATTTTATTATAAATTGATGCAAAGGATTACGTATTCTGCTAACATAGTGACGCATGGGAGTGCGTATTCTCCTATTAGATTTGTCCTCAACCATACAAATTCTCCATCAAGCAATTACATTAACCACAGACAATGTTTTCGGTGGACATAGAAAACAAATTGTTCTCATTGAGATAAATATTTATTTTGGAAGATGTGTGAGCTGTTTGACTGGGATATATTTTTAAGAAAATAAATTGTTTAGATTGAGACAGGTTGAAAAAAATGAAGTTTTTATATTAATCTTTATATATATATATATAT